AAGCACTTTTCAATTTAAAAAGTAAATTGTCACAAATTGACTGGACGCAGTTATGTAGTATGTAGTAAATTCATAATGAATGCTGTAGAGTTAAGGAAGTTAAAGTGAAAACTAGAAAAAAGCCTTACTTAAAATGGTATACACCAGAATTGAAGAGCTTTAAAGTGTATGTAAATGCTTTTTATGATAGATATAAAAATAGCTTGGGCACAGAAAATAAAAATATCTTCAAACAAGAATATATAGATGTAAAAAAAAGGTACAAACACAAAGTTAACTATTGCAAAAAAGTTACAAATGAAAAGTACATTTTTAATTCCTCAAATAAATGTAAAGCTGCATGGGCTTTAATAAAAACTGAGTCAAATTGTAAGGTCACTAAGCAAGAAAATTTATTAATTGATTCAGATACTTTTAATGACTATTTTGTTAATATTTTAAGTAGTATAAATGTTATTAGTGATAAGAATAAATCCCATGACAAGGCAGTAGAATTAGTGAATAATTTTGTCCTTGAAAGGAAAAGAGATTTGAATAAATATCTAGTTTGGCGAACAATTGAAGGTAAAGATGTGACTAAAGTTGTTACTAGCTTAAGTTCATCATGTAGTGGAGATTACTATGGTTTATCAAATAGAGTTCTAAAGGAAATATGTCAGGTGATAGTGACACCGTTGACTTTACTGTTTAATATGATCTTGGATCAGGGTATATATCCGCAAGTGCTAAAAGTAACAAAAGTGATACCAGTCTATAAAAAGGATAAAAAGTTGAGCCCATCTAGTTACCGACCAATATCTCTGTTTCCTATAATAAGTAAAGTTTTTGAATCCTGTATTAAGGCTCAACTTGATACATTTTTTGTGACTAATAATTTGTTTTGTGAGGAACAGTATGGTTTCATGCAAGGTAAAAATACAGTAAAAGCAGTAGAGAATGTGATAGAAACAGTGTTAGAAAACTTAGAAAATAAGCTGTTATCATCTGCCTTACTCATAGATCTTACTAAAGCTTTTGATTGCATGAATCATGAGCTACTGCTAGACAAACTGTTTCACTATGGTATCAGAGGTAAAGAACTTAATTTATTTAAATCATACTTGAGTCGTAGAGAACAAATGGTGGTACAGGGCAGTGATAAGTCTGGCTTTAGAACGATATTAATGGGCGTGCCTCAGGGATCAGTCCTTGGACCTCTTTTATTTATTATTGCTGTGAACGATTTTGCTTCAAATATTCCTTGTACCACAGTGTTATATGCAGATGATACCACACTTCTTAACAGTAAAAAACACCTAGATGATCTAATAAGAACTGAGAACCAAGCCTTAGAAGTAGCAATGGAATGGTTTCATTCTAATCTTTTAATTGTTAATGGGAAAAAGACTGAAAAAATTATCTTTTCTTTGGACTTTTCTATTTATAAAGATGTGAAACCTGTTAAGTTGTTAGGTATTTATCTTGATAGTAGGTTAAGTTGGGAAACTCATGTCGAGCAGTTGTGTAGAAAACTGTCTAGTAATTCACCTTCTTAGAAAGTTGAAAGATTGTGTAACCAAAAACATGCTGATAACTGCCTATTATGCTATTTTTCATTCTCACTTAAAGTATGGCATAACTTTATGGGGCAACTCGTGTAATGCATTAGAGGCTTTTAAGTGGCAAAAAAGAGCTGTAAGAGTCATTAAAAATGTTTCAGATAGGGAGTCATGTGTTCCTTTATTCAAAGAGCTTAAAATAATGACTCTTCCAAATTTGTACATTTACTGCTGCCTGATGGATGTTACAATAATACAATACAAATCATCTTTATTCGTCAAGTATTTTACAGCAAATACATGAATTGCGTCACAGAAAGGAAAAGATAAGCAAAAAATTAGGTATACAAGTATCCTAAATAATAGATTACAAACATAAATCATAACATAACATATTTCTAATCATTTAAATTCCAAAACTCTTCTATTGAATATAATGATTTAGATTGCAAATAGTTTTTCAGTAGTTTTTTAAAGCTACTGTAATTATGTTCATTAAAAATATTTTTGGGTAGGCTAAATAAAAATTTTTTGCCAATGAAACTGGTTTTTTTCTCAAATAACTTCAATCTGTGTTGTTCTACATGCCTGGTGTTTCGTAAATTGTAACTGTGGAAATTTTTAGTTTGATAATCTGAACTTTTTACATGTAGAATAGTTTCAAAAATGTATAAATCATAGATGGTCATTATACCCAATTTAGAAAAATATTTTTTAACTGATTCTCTGTTTTTTATACTAAAGATAATTCTAAGAGCTTTTTCCTGTTGACGTAGAATTTTGTCTAGGTTTTTTTTTGTGGTACCACCATATAAAGCTATTCCATAAGCTATATGTGAATTTATCAAAGCAAAATAAATAGTTTTAAGAGTTTCAATGCTTGAGACACGGGACATTTGTCGCAAAGCATAAATACCAGCTGTAGATTTTTTTACCACATGTTTCACATGCTCATCCCAGGTTAAATGCTGGTCTAATATTAGACCAAGAAATTTAGTGTGCTCCACTTGATTTAATTTTGAACCATTAAGATATATATATCTGGTTGTAATTTTAATCTTGATTGCCTTGTGGAGAAAGATAAAATATTAGATTTATTTGAATTTATTAGTAGATTTTTGTTATTTGTGAATTCATTTACTGACAATAAATTTAAAAAAGACTTTAGTTCCACTTCTTCTTGAGATTTACCTGTAATTGTTATGTTTGTATCATCTGCATACAGACATACAGATCCTCCAGCATTTACAACTCCTGGAAACCCCCTTATGTAGCAAAGAAACAACAAGGGACCCAGTATAGATCCCTGTGGGACACCATACTTTACTGTTTTAAAGTTGGACAAGACATTTTGGGTGTATGCATATTTGCAATTTGGATAGTATGAGGTATGTCGAATTTCAACACATTGTTTCCGATTGTTTAAATATGATCTGAACCAATTATATTCTTTATTATTTATGTTTAGGCCATGAAGAATTTCAAGTAATTTATCATGTGAGACACTATCAAAAGCTTTAGAAAAATCCAAAAATATTCCAACAACTTTTTCATTGTTGTTAATTGAGTTAATTGAGATGTTAAGAATTCTATTTGTAAATTGTCTGTTAGAAAAGAAATACATGACTATCAAACGAGGAAAAACTATCTTCTTAACTTAATCTCTGTACGGTTGGAAAAAACAAGAAACAGTTATGTTTGAAAATTAAATTATTTAATAAACTGCCAGAAAACATGTGGAATATAACTTCAAAACAGTTTGAAAATAAGATGAAAATATGGTTAAGAGAACATATTTTTTATACTGTTGATGAATTTTTAGCTTGTGACATTAGCACTTTTTAGCGAATTTCCCTATAGGGAATAAGCTATTACCGAAGGTCTCATGGTAAGACTTAGTCCCGGGACCGATTTACTTTTCCATTTTGATGTCCCTAGAAGCCAAAAACACCATCCGTTCAAATTCATATATATATATATATATATATATGTGTCCGTCAGCACGATAACTCGAGCAAAAATTATCCGATTTCGATGAAATTTGGTACAAACGTGTAAACCTACGTTTATTCGAACGAGTTCGCGAACCAGCATGATCGGACCATGGGAACGGTGTTTTATGGGGTAAAAATTGGTTTTTCTCATTTTTGACCCTCAAAACATAAAATTTCCCAAATTTCCTTTAAAACCATTTTGAAGAGCTTAAAAAAACAAATAATTCAGCATATTGAAGTGTTTTTGTATGGTTATTGGTGACGGAGAAAATTGTAAATTAAAAATTCCCATGTTATTCTTATGGAGAATAAGTAAACTGTTGTAATTTGCTTGTTTATGCATATATTTGTATCAACTTGCCCAATCTATTTATTTTATACTAAGCTATTAATATTTTACTAAAAAACACACTTTATTACCCTGTAGGCAGCAAACCTAGGTGCTCGTTAAACCTAATGTTATTTGAATAGATTTATTTGAAAATCAAATCAGGCAAACGGAAATTCGCTTAGTCTGCAGGTTTGCTGCGGCGGGGGTATTGTTCAGATTTTATATTAATCGTTTGATATGTCATTCCCTGGTGTTTTTATATTTTGTTATTGCTTTTATCTATAAATTTTCTATTTTTCAATGTACCGTTTACTTAGAATAGGCTATTTACATACATTATATGCTTGTGACTTTGTCAATTGCACACATGTGTTTAAAGGCAATAAAAATCTTTGACTTTGACTTAGCTAGTTGGGTATAAAATAATATTATTATACACCTAGAAAATCTGGGAAGGCTAAAAGACGCTCTAATCCCACCCCCTTGCCACCAATGGATGCTATGCATTTAAATAAACATTCAGTTGGAAACTAAAATCAATTGAACATACGTCTTAAATGGGTGTAAGGGGTTATTTATACTGTAAAATTCAGCGTTTTATGATTTATCTAAAGTTATTTTATTTTTGAAGTTAACAAAAATAAAATAAATGATACTCTCAAATTGACAAATGGGCTTCTCTATAAAACAAAACTCATTTTTCATAAATAATATCTACTGTTGCATGTTTTTAGCTGGCTGAGAAACTAACTGGCCTGAATAAGTGGTATTAGAGTCAAGAATCAATATCGCCTTGAATCGAACCAGGAACATTGTAGGCGAGGCATGGGCTCGTACCCACATACCCAGACAAGTCAATGAGCTATTTTGTTGCATACATTGTCAAGTATTTTCAATGCAGTAGGTTGGTGGTGGTTGAAACCAAAAATGTTGAACCTATAATCCAAAACTTAAATAGCTTATTCCCTATAGGGAAATTCGCTAAAACCCAAATCTCAAAAATCAATTACGAAACCTTATTTACTTGTCTGGATAAGTTACAAATATAAAACCAGTTAAATAAGTCATTGATAACCTGAAGAATTTAAATAGGATATATTATGGCATAAATAACTACAATTTGAAAATATTGTTATCCATTTATTGAATCAGGAACAGCTGGATAGGACGGAGTTTATGAGCGGTAAAGTTGGCACAGAAATGGAAATCAAATCAGCTGATATGACAATGATCTGAAGAAAAAATATGTATCAACAATTACCAATAATTATACAATACAATATACATTAAACACCTTTGACGTGTTAAATACAGCAGAGTCCAGCTAATCTGAACAAACTGGGACGAGACCCTATTTGCATTAGCTGTAAAATTACACAACAACTCAAAACTATGTATTTTTATGTAGCTCTCTTTTGTTAAATGCTCTTATATTGCTCATGGGATTACAACATCGTGATCGTCTCCTGCGTCAAGAAAACATTGTGATCGTTTCCCGCAATCATGGACCTATGATCACTGATCACTTCTTATAATATTCTTCTTAGAACATGGCAGCTTTAAACGAGACCAAACAGAATGTCATTGATGAACGGACACATTGATGCTACCATGTGTTGGCGATCGTTAAAAACAAAATTCAAAGACAATTCCTGGTTTTCTCAGTCTCCAGTTCTCCAGTTGGGTGAAGATCCTGGTTCATATTTCAGAACACATTAGTTTGTTTTAATTGAAATACAGAAATCTTTTCTCCCCAACAGGTGGTTTGGATTGTCCGGACGTTCAAATTAGCAGAACTTTGGTGTATTAACGAGAATACAACATAAAATATGTCTATACGTCTAAGTACAATGAATTCACGTTAATCTAATTTTTATGTGATTAGAAGAGTAGTTATCGTGTTAGAAAGGAAAGAAGAAAAATATTTTAAGTACAATCTTTTACTATTAATACAACTACTTCAGTACCCAATAGTCAATGGTAAATGTAGATAGATAAGTTATATTTATATTGATAGTTCAGTTATACTGTACAATGCTATCTAGTAAATTGATAGGTAGTATTTAAATTCATGAAGAATTAATAATTATGTTTTGTTCCACAATGGTACAGCTTTTAAAATCGCATATTGTTTTTTTAAGAGTACAGTCTACTCTTGGTAATTCAAACATCCGATGATTTAAAATAAAAGCTCAGTTTGTAGAGCATTTCTTGAAGTTTTAGTTTTACCATACATTACAAATTTTTATACACTCGGTATCTCAAAGTCTGAGTAGAGGGAAACTTACAAAAAAATAAGTAACATTATAATGTCTGCTTGAATGGCACATTCAGTTGAAAATCCCCAAAAATATACACTGAAGTCAAATCTCAAAAACCTGCAGTGGTATTTTCCCACTTTCGGCTGCAGTTATAACAAATACCCCTGCCGCAGCAAACCTTCCATTTACCTACCGGATTTCTACTAAAATATTCTTTTAAAATTGTCAGATTTATTTCCTATTTAAATAACATTAATTTTAATGAGTACTTAGGTTTGCTGCTACAGGGAAGGTAATGAAGTGTGTTTTCTTATTGAAATGTTGATAGCTTAGTAGGAAATAAACAAAATTGCTAAATTTGACAACAATATATCCATAAACAAGCAAACTACAAAATTTCATTTATCCTCCATAAGAATAACATGGACATTTTTAATTTACAATTTGACATTGGCCCAATTAAAACCCTCTGGGGCGGAGCCCTTTTGACGGATATGCCCCAAAATTCACACAAACCATCCTAGAATAATGCATAATAATGCCTGAAAGTTTCATAACAATCTGTCAAGTGGTTTCGGAGTCCATAAATAAGGTACATACATAGTTATAATGCTTATACATACATAGTTCCTCTTTTATAGATATAGATTTTTTGAATTATCTCTGTAGGAAAACTACAACGCTGTAATATACTAAGTTATTTTTATTTTAAGCTCTAGTAAATGGCTTAGAAAGAAATTGCAAAATCTTATGTTTTGAGGGTTAAAAATGGGAAAAACAATTTTTACCTCATAAAACCCCGTATAGTGTTAGTCCCTGTTAGCCATTGCATGATTGATCATGCTGGTTCACGGACTCGTTCAAACAAATGTTTGTATGTAAACAAATGATACATGTTTGTACCAAATTTCATCAAAATATAAACGATTTTGCTTGAGTTATCACGTTAATGGACACACATATATATGTGTGTGTGTGTGTGAATTTGAACAGAGGGTGTTTTTGGCCTCTGTAGACCTCACAACAAAAAAATTCAATCGGTCCCGGCTCTAAGTATTACCAATAGCCCTACGGTAATACCATATTCCCTATATGGGAAATTTGCTAAAATTAAACTATATAACTATTTGTATTTATAAATATGAACACAACAACTTAGAACAATAAAACAATCAGTTTATCTAATGTGTGATTTGGACCAAACACACTTCATGGTTAGTTGTACCATAGACTAACCAACACAAGTAGACTTCTCATCCCATTGTAAATTTTGAAGCTCGTTTTTCATGTCTAGTTCATGTACGCCACACTGGGCGCTAGTGTCGACGAAATTTTGTTTATATTATTTTAGGGTTAATTTCTTGATTTGTGCTTTACTGTTTGGTTAAATAACTAGGGGACAATTTATTGTTTATGATTAGATCGTATTATTTGGTTAAACGAGGTTTTAGATGACTGTATTAACGGGAAACAAATTGTAAACAAAACACGACCTCTAACATAAACCGTACAGAACTAACAATAAAATTGTCTTCAGCTGTTCCATTAGGATGAGAAATCTACTAAGGGAGTATGTTTTATCTATGGTTGTACTTAATTAATCCTTTGGTTAGGCTATATTTTTAAGATATTTTTCTTCAGATAGCCTAAGTTAGCAAAACCTCAAAATTGTTCCTAATACATTTTATTCTCATTAATTCATTTCTAAAATTGCTAAACTGTAAATAATAATGTGTGATCTGACATAACATAAAAAAAAACATTATTTTTTTATTAATATTTACCACAGATAAACTGATGGTTTTTAACACTAAATCTACATTAGACCTTGAGTTTTCTTAGACAAAACACCAGCAGAAAAAAGTATTATATACTGTATATATATAAACTAATAGACACTAAATAACTTACAAAATAAATAAATATAAACTATAAAAATAGTAGATTCATCTTAAATATTATGAGATCCAGAATTGAATATTGTAAATGATCTTACAAAGTAAGTACAAACTTATATTAGGCACATAATATTTTAAGCTGTGAAAAGTATAAGCAAATGGGGTAGTCCTCGCCACCCTAACTTGAGGCAGCCCAAGGCCGCACTAGATATACGGTGTGCGTCCTTGGGCTGCCTCAAAAGTTAGGGTGGCGAGGACTAGAACTGGCCGAGAAGTAAAAGATTAATGTAAAAAATAACATTTTAAATTAAGCTTAGCTTATTTTATTACTTTCACTGAAGTAAATTATTTGAGAAATAGCTATAGAAGATTTTATGTATACAATTTTTATCTGAAATATTTACAACATTACAGTAATAATTTACTATCTACAACTGTAAAATTATGCGATCTTGGCAAAATTGAATTGTAATAATATATATTCCTATATCACCAAGCCGCTAGAATGCTATTTTTTTGCCTTAAAAAAGTATTTTGCTTCATTATTTGTAAACTTTCACCAGAGAGGTTTGTTCTATTTCAGTAAATTTCATAATTTTAATAAACAAAATAAATATATAAAAACACATTATGCATCAAAATTCAAAGTAACAAAATAAAAATACTGGCAGAGGCAAGGAGTAGTTCAAACTACAAGAGTATTTTTACTATTTTGTGTACGGTTTAACTGAGATAAAAAAAAATTACCAGGAGACCTACGGTAATAGCTACTTCCATATAGGGAAATTCACTGAAAATAGATTATGTAGCTATGACACTATATATCAGTTGAAACACTTGAAGCACAAGTTTGCCTCTTCTAAGAAGGACCGAGGAAATGTAAATCATATTAAAACTAACATTTTTATTGTAGTAAGAAATGAAATTAAATCAAATAAGGTGATGAAAAAAACAAAATAAACTTTATTTTCCCACAGTTACCAGATAACTCAGGCTTCCTTGCACTGATTATAGTACGCGAAGTAGCTAATCGCTGCATTTACTTACTTTTGCCGCACTCATTTCTTTTTCGGCACTCCAGTGTTCCAACCAAACAACGCAAAACAGTGTGCTTTTGTTAGGCACGCATTATGTGTACGCTTGAAAATAAGTCGACAACACTTAAAGATATTACGACTACAATCAGCTGGTGCATTGTTTCCCATTTCGTTCTAACGCTTGGATTTTATCTAACCTAAAACGTGTTGTTTAGTATTTGAAAGACTAATTATTCATATGCTTTGTAGGAACTGTAGGAAAAATATAATGTGTAACCGCGGGCAAAGTGCCTTTGCTGCACTCGAGAAACTTTCCACACATTTCTCTCATGTGCAGCAAAGTGTCTCTTCGCACACTAGTTACACAAATAACTATTTCCATAAAAATGAACAATTGGAATATTAATTTCAATTAGGCCTACTTACAGATACTTCTCCAATCCATTTTCCGTCACAAATAGATGAATTTCTATCGCAATGTGAATACTAGCTGCAACCAACAAGTGAAGTAAATTTTGTTAACTGTGTATTTCATCTATAATAGAATAGGTTTATTAAATGTGTTTATCACTAAGCTTCTTAGGAGGAAATTTTAAAGTAGACTAAATAACATTGTAATACTTCTTTGAAAATACCTTAGTAGAGCGACAAATAAGTTAGTTACTATACAGAATTCTAAAAATCCTTTACATGATACAGCACAATATAATGATGCAACTCTTAAAGTGTTCGAAACAACTTATGGAAAATCACCCTCAAATAAAAAGCGGGTGTTAATTACATATGAATCAATTACATTTTATCTTGTACGAATAGCCTATTCAGTCCATGTAAAATAATAGTTACTACATGTTGTACAAAGGTTTATTGTGGACATTTTCCATCACGATGGTAAAAAACAATACACAACATTTCGGGATCTGGAATCTGATCCCATCCACAGGTGAAAAAACTTTACTAAGTAACACATTACAACTAAAATACACAAACACCCAACCAAAGTTGGAATACACTACAGAGACTATCTAGATTATCATGACTTGACTGCTATACAGTGCATATTTTTTTACTGCTACTCTCTCTAGTGTATTCCAACTTAAGTTGGGCGTTTGTGTATTGTTAATTGTAAGTTGTAATGTGCAAGATAAGTTTTTTCACCTGAGGACGGGATCAGATTCCAGATCTCGAAACGTTTTGTATTGTTTGTTTACCATCGTGATGGTAAATGTCCACAATAAACCTTTGAACAACATTAACTCACCATCACCAACAATAAATTTCAAACAAAGGAGTTACTACATGCAACACTAACAACTACTTACTGACAAGAACTACCAGTAGAATACTTCTACAAATACACATCTAACAATTATGTAACTACTTATAGCACCAAGATCAAAAATAAGTTTAGATTGCCTAGAAAATTAACAGTTTGCTACATCAACTATATTATTCCACCACAGCGAAAACCCGAAACAGGAATAATAAGCGCCAACACTTGTAAACTTGACTACTTTTTATATTAATCGTGTTAAAAATTTTCTGCAATAATCTCTTATATCACTTAAACTTACCTTCACCAAAAACTAACTTCCAACGAAGAATTAACTGACTAGGCGTTAACAATAATTAATAACAAAACATTGAACATCTATTAAAAATTAATCAATGCATAAAGCTTGCATGGTAGGGACAAGTTATTTTCAGACAGGCCTGTATAGTAAAAACCATGAATCCTGTTACTTGATTTACTTATAGTGATTACATCATCCACCCAGGATTATATGTTTGAGAACTGTTAAATACAACAAGTTATCGATTAAAACTAACAAAGAATGTTGTGCAGATCACGAAACTACAACTAGACAAGTGAATGGTAACTTGGAGGTAACTAAGTCTAATAACTAGTGGCGATCACCGTACACATCGGTCTGCGTCTCAATATCCGAGAACCCGAGTAGAATGTCGTCGCAAGTTTGTGTACAGGTATCCCACAACTCGTGAGTTTGCGTTTCAATGTTTGAAATATCAGTGAAATTTTCAAACAGAGACTCTATAGAAAACTCCGTTTGTGTTTCGATACTGCAGGATTTGCTGTCGTCTTCATTTTTGATAATTGACGAGAACAGCCTGTCGGTGGAATTGGTGTCTATGTCGAAGTAGCTGGACTTGTCTGTGTTGGTGATGTTCTCAGTCTCGTCAAACAGATTACCGCTCAGGGTAGGCAGGGGTTCTGAGCTATCAAACATGGCAGAGGTCTGTGTTCCTGAACAGAGCCACAGGCCGATGTCTTTGACAGCAAATGACTCCTCGCTCGTCACAGTAGAGGTGGGCTCTGATACCTTAGTTTGAGTTTCCATACTTTTCTTCCTTCGGCGATTCATGTTCTTCTTCACATCTCCCACTGTCTGCGTTTGCGATGATATTCTTGTTCTTTTTTCACCCGTCTGTGAAAATATTATGTCAGTTAATATAATGTATTTCTTATTGTACCATAACAGTATAAAATACCCCCGCTGCAGCAAACCTGCAGACTAAGCGAATTTCAATTTGCCTGATTGGATCCACACTAAAATATCTACTTAAAAATATAACATTTATTTCCTATTTCAATAGAATTAGTTTAACAAGTTCTTAGGTTTGCTGCAACTGGGAGGGTAAAACGTTTTTTTTTTGTAAAATGTTAATAGTTAGTAGGTAACAAATAAAAACATTTTCCACATGTGATCAAAATATGTTCATAAACAAGCAAACTACAACTAACAGTTTACTTGTTCTCCATAAGAATAACATGGCAATTTTAAATTTAAATTTTTTTTTAAATTTTCTCCGTAACCATATTAGGCGCATAATAACGCTTCAATATACTCTTTTTTTAAGCTCTACAAAATGGTTTGGAAAGAAATTGCAAAATGTTATGTTTTTTTGGGTAAAAAATGGGAAAAACCTATTTTTACCCCATAAAACCCCACGTAAACCCCCGTTCCCATAGTCCGATCATGCTGGTTCGCGAACTCGTTCGAATAAATGTAGGTTTACATGTTTATACCAAATTTCATCAAAATCGGATCATTTTTAGCGAATTTCCCTATAGGGAAGTAGCTATTACCGTAGGTCTCATGGTAAGACCTAAGCCCGGGACCGATTTACTTTTTCATTTTGATGTCCCCAGAGGCCAAAAACACCATTCGTTCAAATTTGTATATATCTATATATATATATATGTGTGTGTGTCCATCCGCACGATAACTTGAGTAATTTTTGTCCGATTTTGATAAAATTTGGTTTGAAGGTGTAAGGCAGGATAACCTTGAATGAGTTCGGGAACCAGCATGATCGGACTATGGGAACGGGGGATTATGGGGGGTTTTATGGGGTAAAAATAGGTTTTCCCATTTTTGACCCAAAAAACACAAAATTTCACAATTTCTTTTTAAACCATTTTGTAGAGCTTAAAAACAAATAATTTAGTATGTTGAAGCGTTATTATGCGCCTAATGGTGACGGAGAAAATTAAAATTCCCATGTTATTCTTATGGAGAATAAGTCAACTGTTGTAGTTTGCTGGTTTATGAACATATTTTGATCAAATTTGGAAAATACATTAATTTCTTACTAAACCACAGTACCTTTTAATATTTTACATAAAAAAAAAAACTTTTACCCTCCCTGTTGCAGAAAACCTAAGTACTCATTAAACTTGTTCTGTTTAAATAGGGAATAAATTTGATATTTTTAAGGTGACATTTTAGTTTAAATCTAATCAGGCAGATGGAAATTCGCTAAGTCTGCAGGTTTGCTGCGGCGGGGGTATTGCTCTAGTTATCGTGCTAACGGACACATATATATAAATATATAAATACCTATATATATATATATATATATGAATTTGAACGGATGGTGTTTTTGGCCTCTAGGGACCTCAAAACGAAAAAAAAAATCTTAATAACACAAGGCTAGTAAAAGATTGATAAGTAACAACACACAAGGAATAAAATATTGGTCCTATTCCAAACACAAACCCACACCATGCATTTTTACATTACAATTTTCCACACAAAAAAAATTATTACTAATGTTACCACAAACATAAAACCATCAAATTTTGTATAATGATAGCTATAACAAACAGTGACCCTATAAACTATCAATATTCAAGCGGCAGATGACAGACTGACCTGTGTTTGCCGAGAGGTGTTCCTCCGTCTCCGTTGGGAGGTAGGCTCCGTCTGCACTGCAATGTCGACACTTTTGTGACTCGAAAGGACGACCCCACCAAGGGCTACTGCTGCCGTGGCCACCATTGAGTCGCACTTTGGCAGTATCGCGCTAGGCTTAGCCGCTGCTACAGGTCCTAGATTATCATTTTTTTCGGTCTTGCGAGTCCTGTCAGAAAAATGTGTCATTAGTAAGAACAACTAATTGTTGTACTCAAGTCAAGTCAAGAACTCGTTGAGTCAGTATTTTAGCTTATTTTTAAGTTTTAATTTATTACTAGCTTAATAATTATTTTGAGATTCCAAACCTAATTTATCATGAATTAATAGTTTTATAATGGCTGTTAAATTTCACCTCTAACTCAGTCAGTATTTTTGTTTTTTTTTCATGATGGGTTAGCCTCTGGATCGTAAATTGCAATATAAAAATGGTTTATTTTACCTTTTTGCGTCGAACGATCCGTGTGTAGTTAGTACAACTACAGCTGTTTCATACCACTAGGGTACATCATCAGGTTGTTGGTAGAACGTTAGATAAAACAGCATTCATTCATAGATGAACTTGTCGAAATAAATATGTCTATATACACATAATACACGAAAAACATTTAAATGACACGAATTTACGAACTTGGCCAAGTAACGAACACACGAGACAGGCGCAGATGTTGCGTCATGACTGCTGTCGTGTGTCCAAGCATCAGCTGTTACCCCTCCCCCCCGACTCCTTTATCAGGACCAGTTTTGTTTTGGTTTAAATGAATGGCAGTATTGTAGATAATATTAGATCTGAATGAAATTTGTTCGTTCAATATATGGTCAGGGTGTTCTTTGGATGCATTGTAGTTTTTTTTTCTTTGTTATACAAGGCATCCAAAGAACACCCTGACCATATATTGAACGAACAAATTAATGCTTAAAGCTTAATGCTGTAATCATGTCATTGCATATTCTGTGAGAATAAGGCTTTTGCAATTTGCTTGTTTATGAATATTTTTGGATGAAACTTGGCAAATGTATATAATTTATATGAAGCTATCATTATATTTTTTGATTACTTTTTTTTAGAATACTTCAGGCTAGACCTAGGGGTTGCGGCATTATCACTTAGATAAAATCCATTGGTGATTTGGAGGAATTTGAACCAGGGACTGAAGTCCCGCGGTCTAACCACTAGACCATGTCGCTCCCAAGGAAATATTTTAGTGGTAATACCATGATCAGGTACATGGTGATTCACTTAGTCTGCAAGTTTGCTGCGGCTGGGGTATTTTCGATTTTAGAACATAAATCAATAGATGACCCTAAAATACTTTTCCATAAAAACTAGTAAATTAAGAGTACCAACCTGACAGCCGACCATGATTTGATGAACGTATGTCGTTTGCGCGAGGCGTGGGTGAGTAGCGCAGCAATAGTGTTGTATTCGGCCCCGCACGAGCACACAAACTTAACCCCACACTCTTCCAGGTGTCGTCGTCTCAGCTGCAGCGTAGCAAACCCCTTACCGCACTGGTCGCACACAAATTTTTTCTCCATGTGAACTTTTATATAATGCTGCAAAAGAAGATACCCTACAGTTGAATTTTATGACTGATTGTTAAGTTGCATAATGGTGTTATATCAAGTTAAGTTACAAGTGAGCAGGCCCGGACTGGCTCGCCGGGTGCGCATGTAGGGCTCAGGTACATATTTTCTAAAAAGTATTTCAGTAAATTAAAAACCTAACAATTTAGATTTTTTTTTAAATTGTGTAAAAGGCCTAACTAGTAAATGTTTAATATAAATGCGTACTTTATATAAGATATTCAACTACAACACAAGATAATGTCGTAAGTGATCGGAATAACACTGTAACAGGTGTATAACATTTCTCTGCACCACCACTTAAGGTCACAAACACTGAATACCCTTCCATCTCACCGAGTGCCGAGAGTAGTGGGGTGAGGATATAGCAAAGAATGGTAAAATCACTCTCCTCCTGGTTTGAACAATTTGTAATGGAACTAACAAAACCTATAGGCTAAAAATTCAGCACACAAGTAAATCATACAATTTCCTGGTGAAAGATAGCTCAAAAACATTTTACAGGGGAGAGCCTCCAGACCTTGGGGGTACCTCCCAAACCCCACAGGGAGCTGGCACCACCCGATTTACCTTTAAGTGAAGGGCCCCTTTTAGAGGTCCCAGTCCAGCCCTGCAAGTGAAGGTTCATAGAACAAAGCCAACTGTAAAATATTTTCCATAGATTTGTCATCGAATTTGTCACCTTATTGAAGTGACAAGTTAAATGTAAAAAAATTATACAAAAATATGTTAGTAAACTGAGTTTGATTTATCCCTTTTTTTTAATTAGACCTACCTAAGTACTCGTTAAACTAATTATATTTAAATAGGGAATAAATGTGATATTTTTAAGGAGACATTTTAGTGTAAATTTAATCAGGCAAATGGAAATTCACTTAGTGTGCAGGTTTGCTGCGGCAGGGGTATTTTATTTTAAACTAGTTAGGGCAGATAAAAATCAACAGGCTAGAAAAATTTGCCACTCAAAACGGTATAATATATTATGGTTTTCTTCCTAGAATAGATTCAATAAACTTTCAAATTATTGTAGAGCAGTAGGTGGATAGGGCTCCTAGTACAGTAGACTCTCAGTAATCCGGCAGATATAGGACCGCCATACTGCCGGATTACTGGAATGTTATCATTAAAAACACTTAAAATGCAATTAAAACACGTCTCCGAAGTTCGCGTGATCGGAAACCGCTATTGCCGCGATCGGGCATGACAATTACGTATTCGCGGGAGGCAATGATAACGTCTACACGTCCGCGGGAGATAATCGTAAAATTGCCGCCATCGCGCATGACGACAATGATGTTTTCGTGACCGCGGGAGATGTTCATGATTTTGCCGCGATCGCGCAAGTCGACGATGACGTTTCCGTGACCGCAGGAGTAGACATAATGATGTTTACACGGCCGTGGGAGATGATAACATATTTGCTGCGGCCGTGGAAGGCAACAATAATGTCTACATGACCGCGGGAGATGTTCATGATTTTGCCGCGATCGTGCTTGACGACGGTGATGTTTCCGTGACCGCGGGAGGCGATGATAACGTCTATACGTCTGCGGGAGATGTTCGTGATTTTGCTGCGATCGTGCTTGACGACGATGACGTTTCCGTGACCACGGGAGGCGATGATAACGTCTATACGTCCGCTGGCGATGTTCGTGATTTTGCCGCGATCGTGCTTGACGACGATGACGTTTCCGTGACCGCGGGAGGCGATGATAACGTTTATACGTCTGCTGGCGATGTTCATGAATTTGCCGCGATCGCGCAAGACGATGATGACGTATTCATGACCACGTGAGAGAATTATGATGTCTACACGGCCGCGGGAGATAATCAGAATTTTGCCGCGATCGCGGAAGACCTCCCGTCAAAAGACGCCGGATTACTGGAGTGCCGGAGTGGTGCAGTGCCGGATTAGAGAGGGTCTACTGTACTACACTAGGCCTGTTGTTCCGTTAATCTTAAAATCATTTATGTAGGTTTACATTATGTTTGCCAGGTACTTGAAGAATGTTGATGTGACGCCCGATGTACATTTTATCACATGTATGGCATCATCAGGAGCAGAGTTTGTATTTACATAAACATTAAAACATACTACCGGTACTAACATTCTTCAAGAACCTGGCAAACAAAAGGTAAACTACATAATTAATCAATTGTTCTTGAAACTGGGAACACCACACAATTCTAAAATTGATGTTATCTTTGACTATTAATACAACTTCAATATCTAATAGTCAATGATATTATGTTGTCTTATTTTTATGGCTGAAAACGGCCTTAGTGAGTCTTAATTGGTCCAGCGATCACTAAGTTACTTATTAAGGGCATTTTACACAATCTCAATGACACTGTGATCGTCTTCACCAATCAACGGAGTGATCCGCAAGATCATCTATTGCTATCCCAGTAACATATGCATCAATATCTCCTGCAATCACAAACTTCTTATTTCACAACAATCTTAAGAAAAACAATACAATATCAATAATATTAATCAATAATAAAAGGACGCCCCCAGCATAACTAACTGGTGATTGTTCAACATTTTTAGGTTCCAAAAAAAATTCTTGTACAATTAACAGATATTTTGCCAGTTATCAACATTTGCCTACAATTCCCAGTTGGGCGGTCACATTGATTATTTCAGAACCAAAGGCCTAGTTTTGATTTTAATTTATTTAACAAAACAGGAGTTTCGGGTTAGCCAAAGTTTGCATTAATGAGGATCGGATTAGAAGGGCCCAGGTGTATCAAAAATTAACTGATGTGCCAAGGTGATATTTAGAGCATCGGAGGTTTAAAAAACTTTTACAACCAAGAAATGGAGCTTAACTAAAACTTAAAGCTATGCCTAATGCAAATAATACAGTAGCCTATCTACATTACAACTTAATACAAACCTAACCTATATGTTAACTTATGCCTTAATAGGCCTAGTAAGATTGTAAACTGACCTGTTTCAAATACTTGTGCTGTGTGAAGTACTTGATGCCCAGTTCTTGGTTGAAGTGTCCACTGTACTTGCAGCCCACCACTGGACAGTAGTACTGGCGGATGACTGGGCAGGGGGGTGGCGGGGGCCGTGCGCTCTCTCGTCCATGATACTTTGACAGATGCATTTCTAGATTGGGGGGATTGTGAAACACTTCTCCACATTCGGGACAAGGGTTGTAATTGAGAATCTCAGACAACTCCGAGGCTTTGGGGTAAATCCTCTCAATTACAGGGATCATCCCGCAGGGATCTAGAAAATAAAACAGCATTTCAATACTGTATTAATAACTCGATAAACAAAAAATCAAAACCTCAAAATATGATAAAAATCTTGTTCTTATCAATTTTCAACTCATTTTTTATCCTACATGATGCCAACTCTTTAGGGTGTGTAGTTTAAGCCTAAGTTTAATTAATAAAGGGTAGGCCTATACAAGTCGAGAAGGCAATGTTAGATTTAATAGCTTTGTAACCGACCAAGATCAGACACAGATGCGATAGTGGCAGATGCTCTTGGGTGAATAGGAAGATCATGCGGAAGGTGGTTTGCTTCATCAGCCATTGGGTATTCCGCGGACATCTACGCAAGATGGGAATTTAAGTTGAAAGCCTCTTATCTAGGAAATGTGGAGAGGAGGAGGACTGAGGAGCCAACCTTCCACGTGATATTTATTTGCCCGGCCCTACAAGGTCTGCGTATGAGATCCCTTGGCCTATCGACTGGAGATCAAAGGGAAGAACAGGGTCACCATAGTCAAAATCATCTCATGGTTCACAAAGGACCTAGGATTTGACGGAGAATGAGGACCTGTAAATGAGGGTACACAATACACTGTTCCAGCTGCGATGCAATCCCACTGTCACTTGCGTTTTAAATATATATATACACTAGCAGAGTACCCGTCCTTCGTACGGGGTTGGCATATAAGTATAAAATGCTTATTACAGTTATACTCAAGCTTTGCGTTTGCAATGAGGTAGAACACAGTTTGATAAAATTTGATTCTTTAAATTTACAGTGAAAACATAAACAACTGTAAACAAGACTACTATGACAGTTCTCATTGTGTATAAAAGTTGTTGTTGCTGCTTAGTTCAAATTAGCTGTTTTCATAAATGCAAAAAAATAATAGTGCTGCACCCTGTTGGTAAATATTATAACTTTTTAATCCTTTTCATATCATAGGACCAACTTTTTTTAGTTGAAACAGCTGACTAAATTCTTTAAATCCCTTTAAATATGATGAATACTCTTAAGGTTAACATGGGGAACTACAGAGCCACTGGGGCGGAGCCCGAAAGGATTTTTGAGATAAGAATATGCCTATATGTTAATCGAGAATGTGAGCTATCATCATGCCAAATTTTAGCCCAATCCGTCCAGTAGTTAATGCGTGATTGAACTTCAAACAAACACACAAACTTTCACATTTATAATATTTTATTATGCAAGTGAGAATGTATCACCTTGCTACAGAAACTTACTGCGGCAAAGAAGAAGTGAAAACAACTAGGATACAAGTTTATCTGGTATAAATATGGAGCAGTTAGAGTGAGAAAGAGTGAAACAAGTTAAGTTTTCTGTTTTAGTTATAGAAGTAATGACTCAATTAAGTAAAATAAAGTAAAAATTGGTTGTACTTCACACATATTAGTTCTTAAACCTGATTTAGGCCTATAAATAATATGGAAATTTTTGATAGTGAAAAACATAGAGCACACGTTTTTTTGAATAAACAAGCATTTAAAAACTCATATTTTGAAGGACAATAGCCTATGAGTCGGGTATAGAAATTTTGCATCTTAACATTAGGCCAATAATAACAAATTGGGATTAGTTTTTGGTTTATTTTTATGAATGTTTTGCATTTTTGGACATAATTGAATTCACTGAAGTTAATGTAACATGTAACTGTGTCTGAAATTTTAATTGTTTTAAAATCAAAATGGATATAGCATAGTGCACAATTTAAGACAAGTAAAAATAGGTGAAGGTATTGTAGGTAATCTAGGCTATATATTATTAGGCAAGCGTGTTTCTTTAAAACTTCTTTTCTCAGCTTGTGTGCATCGCAGGGATAAACTACGCATCATACTGTTGGAAATATATTTTCCTGTAGATGTGCAGAATCCCTTATAGGCTCAAAATAAACACAAAAATTAAACTGAAATAAAAAAAATAACATGGGCCTTATGGGTTGTCATGCTAGTGACGAAATAACAACAAAATATAAACAGAGTATCAAAACAAATGGAAGAAATTACAATCACATGTTTTATTTATAGCGTAGGGGGGAAATAGAGAAGGGTGTGAATATGTACTAGTGTCTCGGGGTCCTGGTCAAAAACCAATGAGAACCTCTTTTGCGAAGGAGTGGGGGGCGTGACGTCACTCTCTTCTCTTTAGGGGACACCATTATCGCAACGATACAAAGTGCAGCCATTGGTGTTTGAGGTGTAGTGGATAGAGTACTCGGCTGATGTCCATGAGGTAACCAGATCAAATCTCACCGGTGACACTAAATTTTTGTCAAAGATTTTGCTTAGAATGTGATTACTTCTAAACTATACACCTTTTGTTAGAATTTGAGGCATTTATAATTTTAATTTATGAACAGAACTATTTTTTCAGTTAGTAAGTAATCCTTTATTAGATTTTTATCTTATATCTTTTTAGCGAATTTCCCTATAGGGAAGTAGCTAAATAGCTACCGTAAAAAATTACCGTAGGTAGCACGGTAAGACCTAGGCCCGGGACCCAATTTACTTTTTCATTTTGACGTCCCCAGAAGCCAAAAACACAATTCTTTCAAATTTTAATATATGTATAATTTATAAAACCATTACCATTAGGCCTATAATTTAAATATATGTTATAGGCCTAGACGTACATATATATATATATATTTATATATGTCCGTAAACGCGATAACTTGGGTAATTTTGGTCCGATTTTGATGAAATTTGGTTTAAAGGTGTACTGACCAAGGGACAAAGTACTAGTTTGTTATCAAGAACCAGTTTTTTTCTATGAGCTGCAGACAAGCCAAATTTTCCTGGCTTTTGCAGCAAGTTATTTATAAATGTTGTAATATTTTGTGATTTTCCAAATAAAATTATAAGCTTGGCCCTCTGTAAAAAAAGATCAGACATATCTTAAACTAACCTTAACAAAACATAAAGTATGCCTATGTGAGTACTTAAATGTAGGACGTTTAAACTAAAGTGCAGCCGATGAATGATAGAGGACAGGTGGATCCATTAACTTATTGAGCATTTACTTTAGGAGGTGCACTTAGTTTTAATTTCCAAGGAACTTAACTCTTATTCTACGCAGATAGATAAATATTTTTTCTTGTTAGCTGAACTTAAAAGATCCATTTTTTCCTTCCATAGTCTTAACCGGTATCGTATGAACTTTGACCCACAGAGGCAAAGCAATAACTATGTGGTTTAAGCTTAATTAATTGACTATTGGATACTGAAGTAGACATCCCATTTATATGGACCAGCTTACGTCAATTTTTTGAAAGAACATAATTTACTGTGCGAGCCAGTTAAAGAATGTGCTAGAATTAAAAATGATAGCCTATTCTCTACCTTAAACTTATTTATTGTTGCTGACCAAGTTGATGGAGTCAACAGTTAACTTAGGCCTAGTTGCTAGGCTATACCGGTAACTTAAGACAGTTTAACTTGGTAAAAAGTGTGTGCATTCGACAGAAATAAGTAGGTCTAGACTAACTTAGGCCCTTATTTAGATTAGTGCAATATGTCGGTGGCTCACATCAACCTACGAAAATGTTGACATAAAAACTGGTGACATGGGGATATGATGGGTACACTTCCGTATCTGTTGTCAAAAACAACCGAACAAAAATATTTATCATTCAATTGTTTCATTCAAAGTTTATTCATTGTTTGACTTATTAAGTTTAATAGTTAACTTTAGTTAAACTTTAAAAAGTTCCTTTGACTTACTTAAAAAGTTAAAGTTACCATACTTCAAAATCATTAAGTGTTAAGGACATGATAAACTACTCTGAGGCCTAATAGCCTAAGCAAAACACTTTAGACTTGGCATAGATTTGTATTTCCAAGTCCATTCGTATTTAGATATTTTTTTAGACTGGAGAGTTCAGTTAAAAAATAAACTGACCCATATAAAAGAAGGTGTAACTATGGTCTGGATAACTAACAAACAAAACTAGGCCACTGAGTTTCACAAATCAAATTATAGGCTATCTGTCACAAATATGTTTGAGCTTATTTTACCTCCGAGCGTAGAGATTGCTATCATAGTTTTCCTTAGAGTATATTCTTTATATATTTAATAAAATGCAAGTGATTTTGAGCCAATTAATTAAATTCAACTGTTAAAATTAACTTTACATTTAACCCCCAAACTACAGCTGCAATTTGCTGCATTTCCCATCCACTGCTCAACTCACGCTCACGCAATCAATAACAAAAATAAAATGAAATGATGGACCATGGAATGGACGGAATGGACGGACCGAGACCGACGGACGATCGGGACGATTCATTCGACCGACGGACGAAACGACCGAAAGGACCGATGCGACTAGGGAATAAGGATTAGGGAATGAGAATCAGGGAATCAGGACAGGATGAGATGAGATAGGAAGCACTCGGAAGCAGAGAAGTAGGCAGAAAAGTGAAAATGAAACAGAACTGGATGGATAAATTTTAATGTAGACTATTTTTTTTATGTTCAGGCTTTTTCATATAGCAATGTATATTGACTGTAACCAAATATATATATATATATATAAATAATAACAGTATATATTTATATATAATACCAAATAAATATTATCTGCATGGGAGCTCGGGAGCTACCATGCAGATACCAGCTACATGTCTTGAAGTTTTTACATGACTTGTTGTTGTTGAGCTGTTGAGCCTGCTAAAAAATAACCAAGAAAGAATCAGAATAGATTCACATTTCACAACACAAGAACACATAAGCAGAAGCAGAGGAGACCGAGACTGAGCACTGAGCAAGGATTGAGCATGGTGGAAGGAAAAAACATTGAGTCAATTGAGTGCACAAATTGAGTGAGGTCAGACGTAGACCTAAGTAGGAATGGGCACACGGGAGGGACTAAGGCTAAAGGTGTAGTGACGTCATATCTCTAGTGGCTAATGTCTTCTCTTGAGGCGACACGATTACCGTAACGAAACAATGTGATTTCAACGGCGTTCTTGGCATAGTTGGTAGCGTTTCGGGTTGGTGTTTAAAAGGTCCCGGGTTCGAATCCCGCTGGCAGCACTAAATTTTTGTCAAACAATTTTTCATATCAGCAAGTTTGGTTGGTTAGGTTAGGTTAGGACAGTTTAATTTTATAATACTAAATTTTAAAATTAATTTTATAATTAATAAAAAATTATAAGTAATCATTAATTAGAATTTTATCTTATATCGTTTTTATATTATCAGCAAGTCTGGTTAGTTAGGTTATGTTATGACAGTTTAATTTTAAAAATTAAAAATTTATTTTATAATTTTAAAACAATATTTTATAATTAAAAAGTAATTTTATAATTAAAAATTAAAAAAAAATTAATTTAAATTTTTTCAACTTAGCAGTTCTAGCGCCTAGCGGCGAACGCTGAAACTACTAGATATGTTAGCCTTAGTCCTTAGTCCCTCCCGTGTGCCCCACGGCCCACCGGCGGACCTAAGTAGGAGTACATTATATTGGGTCTGACTTCGTATTGTTACGGTAAATGGTGTTCCCTCAGCTAATGCTGAGAGAAGAAGCCCACAGCTGTCATCGTAGGCTCCTCTATACCTCCCCTGAGTAAATACCCATTAGATTTAGGACCAGACCAGACCCAACCCAAACCTATCGCATCGCTATCGTGCTACTGCTAGCAAGCAATCCTAACCTCTCTGTATAAAAACATACTTTGTGTAGAATAATTTTATTCTACAGTTTAGCTTCAGAGAAAATCAAACCTATTATTAACCTGGTGTCTGTTTTAAAATGTGTGTTCAGTTTTGAAAATGCTTCTTCAATTTCCTAGATTATTGAAAGACGCAGCTTCTATTCTAAGACAGGTCTCAGAGGAAGATAGAAGTGTTAAAGACCTACTGTATAACGACAAAAAATTCCAGTTCAGTGTAAGTATACATAACCCCATCCACCATGTGTAGGTCTTGTTTAACATAAAGTTATTGGACTGTTTTTGTATAGATCTCTAGTACTGTACAGTAGTACCTAGCCCAGTAGATCCCACTACACTACTGTAGGCCTATAAGGCTAGTTCACAGTTCATACATGGCGACTAACTCGCTGCGACTTAGTCACGGCTACCATTAGTCGCAGATAGGCTACCACTCGCTAGTTAAGTATAAACTGAGTTCACACATGGCGAGATGTTGAGGCTAGTAATTCTTTTTTGAGCTGCACTTTACGCCCTACACTCGTTCGAATGAAAATATTGATTATTCGATTGTGTCTTTTGATATATCGTTTGGTTAGTTAGGTTAGGTTACCTAACTAACCAAACGATAGGCCTATAACTTATCGATATAGCGATCGATATTTTCATTCGAATGAGTGTAGGACGTAAAGTAAAGTGCAGCCATTTTTTGTGGTACCGTAAGTAATAAGTTATTTGTGCTGTAAAACATTTTGTCTGAAGGAATTAGGCGAGAGACTTTAAGACGTGTGTCTTGCGTATTTCTAGCAACTTTGCGAGAAATTAGGAGATAGGGCCTAATGTAAGAAATAAAAAAGTCTGGGTTTGGGAGTAGATAGGCCTAACTTAGAGAAAAACATTAGGGCGAAGTGGAACCAGGTTTTAGCATTAGTTCAATTTAGAGCTTACATTTCTCAGGTAGCCTAATATTAGCAGGCTACTTGTAATTTTAAAATCTTTTGTACCATAACTACAGTCTAGCCTTGATATAACGAACCTTCATGTAACAAATTACTTGATATATGCTAACATTTTTTTTATCCCCTAGAACACTCCATAAGACTCAATGTATATTTTACCTCTACATAACGAACAAACTATAGGCCCTATCAACAACCTTGATTAAACAAATTTTTGATGATCCCGGCTAAAATAAGACACCTCAGTATAACGAATTTATCATTGTCAGAACCTCTACATAGGGAATTTAACCTACTTAACAAATTGTCTGGGTCTTTCCCTCGATAAAACAAACTCCCCACATTATTGTTTTTGAAAAATCACAGTTTCTTGATGAATATAAAATGGTAGCCTAAGATGACGTCAACGCTTGCGCAACAATCCTCTGCACAGTTTTTCACATCCCCACATATTTCTGCTGTGCACGTTACAACTGATTTCATTCACCGAGAACTGATGATCGAGATCTTGTTTCTGAAGTTTGACTGAGCGAAATTCCTGCAAACCCATCCAGAACGAACCTCGTTTTAACGAAATCCTTGATATAACGAATATTCAGTTCGGTCCCTTCACATTCTTTATACCGAGGTTGGACTGTACAAATCATCTTTTTAAAAACAATAGGTAACTTAAAAAAAGACAAGGGTGAAGTGGCCTTCAACCACATCGTGAAGTTGAACCAGGGGGAAAATGTAACCACAGCTTATCAATCTACTGATAATAAAAGTTTCTGCTTTTTTTTTCTCTTTCAGATTGGATACATATAATACATATAGTAGGCCTACACAGGTAATTGCCATCATGTTTTTTCTGGACCTTGTTTCAAGGTTTTAACCTTTAAAAGGTAAATAGCATATGAAAAAATGTACTTTTTTGATAAAAAAAAGTTAGGCTACATACGGTACAACATTTTGATGTAGGCCTAGCTTCAGAGAAAAATGAAATGCTCTTATAAACAAGAGCTGGCTCATTATCAGCCTAAATTCAATGGTCAAATTTTGAAAATTTTTTATATTTACATTTTTAAAATAAATTCAACAATATTTTGTGTACTAACTATTGTTTGCAAATATATTCGGAGTATACTTCAAATTTATTACAACTTAGATTTTCCAACCGTGGTTACACTTGCCCCAAAAACTTTGCCGGGGGGGCAAGTGTAATACTAGTAACAGTTCTAGAAGCTGAGAAGACGGGTTTTTTCGCTAACTGACCATAACAATACGTGCTGGATTAAAAAAATGATAGTATCGGTACAGGTATATTAAAAAACTATTTTTTTAAAGTGAATCATGTGCCCAGAGAGTTATACTACCTACAACCACACACAATAGTACCTACTATTTTTTGTCATAATTTCCTATTATTGTAAAAATTATTGTATAAGTATTATATTGGTAAAATGGTGTTACCGTGTAAATAAATTGAATTGAATTAAATTACCGGTATTAACTAAGATTTTGCAATTTTACGTTTCTTTACATTTTACGAATTTTTCCGCAAAGGTCTACAAAAAAGTTTGTAACTTAAAAACAGATAAAGATATTTTTATAATTGAAAACGTCTCAGAATTACAGACAATTTCTCTATTTACCCACTTTTGCCTTTCACTCTTCTCAATGCAATATATTATAATTCAGGTATGAGGGGACCTCCACTTGCCCCATGGTGAGGCAACTGGAACACAAAAATACTAGGCAATTATAAGATTTTAAAAATGTCTGAAATGTTAAAAACAAGAAGTTACTGTATAAATGTTGTAAACAAAAATAAAAATGAAGTTGAAGGAACAAATTTAAACATACTTCTAAATGTTGGACTTACGAGTTAGTAATCAGTGTGACACACTGTTATCAAAGGTGTAATCAATGGCTGAGGGATCTTGGAAACTGCCAGAGATTAAGGGTTTTAGTCTGTGAGTTACTTTTCCTCTTTTCAAATTTTACCCAGTGTTGTTAGTTAAAGACCTATTTTGCTTGGAGCGCTTACAGCAATAGTCGCGTAGCCTAGAGATAATCACTCCGCGATAGTAGCTGGGCACTACTCTGACAGAGTTTGCGTTGTCCTGTTTTGCTTAGAGCGACTGTCGCAAGTGTCGCCTGCTATAGTCGCGGACTACTGCCCTGGGTACCAGTCTTGCGATAATCGTGCCGCGACTGATGCACACCGACACATGCGCAGAACCTCAAAACAGTGCAGTTCACTCAGTAAGCACATTAACAATATTCGTTTATGGGTTTAAAATAACCATAATTTACTGTTTTGTTTTTTCACATAATTTTTTTATTCATGTAGCCTACTGTTACGATTGTACTGTTTTGGTTATACAGTTACTTTACTTTAAAAGGTTGCATCAAGCACTCATGACTTCACTATTGTGAGTGCTGGTATTCAACTATGAAAAATCATGCGGCGGTTGAAAACCAATCGCTCTAAGCA